CAAGGTGAAAAGCTTAAACCAGGGTCTCATTTTAAAAGTTACATCTTACAGTTGGAAGTCAGTGTGAAAAGGTGGGTCTCCAGCTGCATTTTAACCCCACGTAGAGTAGGTTACGGTTAACCCAAGCAAATATGGAACAAGAGCCTGGCATTTTAAGTTATTCTTTTGTCCTACGACTAGAAATGGATGTAACAAGGTCACCTGTACCGCCATCTGTCCCCCCCTATCCCCTTTTTTTTTGTTTTTTAAAAAAACCCTTAAATAAGTTAAGGTCACTGAGATCCTATGTCAAGGAAAGTTGAATTCCACGGCCTGCATAAATCGCATGAATTGATCCCCACCGGCAGTGTCAATTTTGGACAAAAGAAAAAAAATCTCCTGAAAACAAGCAAACCAGTGTTGATGCACTTTAAAGCCTAAGATGTTTATCTAATGCGAGCGCTGCACTATTTTATTTTCATTTTTTTCCCTTTCTCTTTTCTGTTGCCAATAGGCTGAAACAAAGAAACAGAGTTACTTCTTTCATTGGCAGCCTTGCAAAATGCCTCTCCTATTTTGCAGGAACGTATACGAAATATGACATAGAACGCCGTATAAAGAGATCAAAGAAACTATGAGTTTAAACATACAAATGTATCCAAGGGTTGTCCTGTTAAATATGTTTAGTAATACGGATATAGAGTGGGAAACAAAGGGGGGGGGGAAATGACAATTATTGTAACTGTTGCGAAATTGGTAATTGCAAGAGTAACAATCCGTTTATCATGGACAAATGGCAAGGGATGTGGAAAATTGCTACTATGTTTCCCTGAAAATAAGAAAGGGTCTTACATTATTTTTTGCTCCCAAAAATGCATTAGGGCTTATTTTCAGGGGATGTTTTATTTTTTTCATGTCGAACCATCTACATTTATTCAAATACAGTCCTGTCCTCTTCTTCTGGTTGCTGCACAAGGGTGGAGGGCAGGGTTTAACTGGGGCTTATTTTTGGGGTAGGGCTTATATGATGAGCATCCTGAGAAATCATATTAGGGCTTATTTTCAGGTTAGGTCTTATTTTGGGGGAAACAGGTATTTAGTAGACCTTGGGTCTCCAGATGTTCTGGACCACAACTTCCAGAAATCCTGGCCAGCACAGCTGGAGGGAAAAGCTTCAGGGAGTTTTAGTCTAAGAGCATCTTGGGACCCAAAAGTTGGGGACCGCTGCAGAGAAACAAAAGGGCAGTTAAGCCATCTTTCTAAATCAAATATACGTAAATCAAATAAATAAATAAAACTTCTAACTCAGTGTTCTCCTTCTAAACCATGGTTGGGAACCGATGGTTTCAAGGGTGTAAAGCTCTGGCTTCTAAGTGTGAAACAATCAGGGAGTCTCAGGTCTGCCCTCTTGGTAGCACCTTGACTTTAAAACTAACCATTAGAGCAGGAATGGTTTTTTCTGGATCAACAAGTGGAAACGGCCAGACACAAATGAAGTCTTGTGCTAACGGTACGGTACAGTAAAGCATCTGTGTCATGTTGCCTCTGAAGTCATTGAATGGGAAAGCAGCTCAGATTACAGCAGCTTCTCTCTTGCAAAGGATAGCCTAGAGTGGATGCCATCGGTTGGGTGTGTTTGGTAGTTGGAAGAACATCCCCAGGGAGGAAAAACAAAATCGGTTGAGGCTTTTAAATTTAGAAACGAGGATGCGAGATACAAGCCGATGCATGGTTTGGAGAAAGAATTGTTTCACCCTAGCATTTAGGGTTCCCCAGTGAAAGTGGTCGGCACAAAAATAGGCTCAAGAGCAATGTGGTGGCAGTAGCAGCAGCAATGACTGGCTTAAGAAGGTTTTAACCTTATTAGCTACAGACCGTGTGCGTATCAAGAAGAATGCCGAACTACAAATCCCATCATTCCTGCCCATCAGCCCTATTGCCCGAGGCTAATGGGAGTGCTAGGAACATCTCTGTTGCCTCTTCAGTAGGTTTGGGCCGAATCCAGCAAAACGGTTCTTAAACTGAAATATTGGAGCATGTGGCTGATTTTTTTTTTAACAAGATGTCAAAAGGCTGACCAAGTTGTCTCCATCACTTTCTCCAGAATGAATGCTTCTGCTTGTGCATGGCAAGCTCGCAGCTTGAGTTTGCTTAATTTATAGGAGAAGCTGACCAATTTTTTCCCCCTCGCCATGTTTTTGCGTAATGGTGAGGCAAGGATGAAAACAGCTTGATTTGAGAGAAGTAGAAGTTTGCTCTCCTCGGCTGGAGAGAGGGAGAGAGAGAGAAAAAAAGAGAGGTTCAAATGAAAATGCTAATTTAAATGATACTGTCATTCATCCTGTCTCCATTCGTGTAGACACAAAGTTAAGGTATTTCTGTCCCCCGGGTTGTTACGTTACAGTACATTGACTTCCACTTGCCATTTTGTTGACCAGTCGTCTAGACTGCCTTTTCCATTGCCTCTCACATAGGGTTTTTCGGTTGAGTCAGTTCCTACTCTAGTGTTGGGCACTTGAGTTTTAAGAGTGGCAGAAACAAGGGATGGACTTTCCGGGCTGCTGTGGTGCTTCAGCTGAAGGAGCTAAGATCCCTGGGAGTGCAGGGAGGTGGCCCTGTTTTACACACTACAGTGGTGTGTCTGTGGATGGGTATCTGGATGTTCTCAGTGCACCCCCCCCCTTCTCATTCTCCTGCTAAAAATGCAAAGACTGCTGTGTTTGTGTATGTCTTTGCAGGACTGTTTCCCCTCGGCCCTCCCTGCTTACATCTTGCCCGTGATGTGCAGTTCCTTACAATGAGTACATGTAATTATAGGTGGCACCCCCTGGCCTGGGTCCAGAGAGGAGCTGTCAGTTCCTCTGGAGTTGCCCACACTCGGTGGGACGCCTTCCTCATCCCCGTGGCATCTCAGCCCCCACCCCACCCCCCTGCGAACTTTCCCTGTGACTTTGGCTTCCACCAGATGTCACACGGACGCTGCTGCCCAAACTGCTCCCCTCGCTGATTTTGTTGTGTATTTTTTTCCAGTGTCGTTGTCACCACAGTTCCCTCCAGCTGTAAAGTGAGAAGGATTTCATGCTCTTCCTAATCATACACTAATTTTAAATAGAACAGTGAGAGGCAGAAACGCACCCCTGCATATATTCTGTTCGGCTCTGTCTCCACCTTTCCTAACTGTGCTTTGTAAAAGAAAGAAAAAGTGGTTTTAAGCACAAGAGTCTCAAATCAGCGATGCATCTTGAAGTTCAGTTTTTCGATGGCCCAGAATTTAGTGTTAATTACAGCAGAGATCTTGTATTTGTATGCTGAATGGATCCCACCCAGTGCAGGAAGTCGGCTTCCATCCTTTTTGTCAGCAAAGTTAGGTGTGACGGATGTGAAAATGGGATACTGAATAATGGTATTCTGGATTACTGGGAAAAGACAGTAATGCTGGGAAAAAAATCGAAGGAATAGGAAAAGATGAAGATGGAATATGAGATGGATGGATTTGATAAAAGAAGTCATAACCTTGAGTTTGCAAGCAGGGTTGTTAATGGGACGACCTTTCAGAGATTATTAATTTGTTAGGATCACTGTTAAGTCAGAAGCTATTTGACTGCATATGACAACCGCAGGCAAGGACAGTCAGTTGAACCCAGTTATGAGTATTACCTAGTGCAGTGGTTCTTAACCGTTGTTACTCGGATGCTTTTGAACTGCAACTCCCAGAAACCCCAGTCAGGACAGCTGGTGGTGAAGGCTTCTGGGAGTTGCAGTCCAAAACTCCTGAGTAACCCAAGGTTAAGAACCAGTGACCTAGTGTTTGGAGGAAGGTGGGTACCTGAGAATATAAGTAACAGAATCCTAGCCATTCCCTTGGGGTGCGATCATGCAACCTGCTGTTATGGCACAACAGTATTCAATGTCTGTCTATTCTGCTGGCGAGGTACTTCAGAACATCACAACAGGACACAGAGTGATTTAAGCTAAACTTATAAGGAAGGGAAGCATGATGGCTTTGTATGTCAGGTTCTCCATGGGTGTACTGCCATACCAAGCAATAACAAAATGGGTGGGTGGGAGGATGTGACATTTTGAGAGGGCTAGCACAGCCTTCTGCAATTGCCGGAGTCACATAAGAATTTCTGATTGAGTTGTTGCACAGCTGTCTGGGGCTAATTAACATGCACATCATTTATGTATGTATGCTTTGACATCTGGCACAGACACAGATAAAAGTTGATATTTCGAAGCCACCTTTGTGGCCCGGAACCTGGCTGTCCAATTACGACACCACTCCGATTTGCCAGCTTCTGTATGTGCAAGAGGCTTAGGCATAAAGAAGGGGGTGTTAACACAGGCTCATTAAATCAATCGTCCTGAAGCTGGAGAAGCAGCTTTCAGCACTGGAAGAACCCTTACGGTTCCCTCCCTGTTTAATAAAAATATTTTCTTGCTCAGGAAGTTGGTTCAAATATTTTGAAGAGGAGCTCACCCTATTAGGTTCAGGTGGATCTCCAGTAGAACAAACTGAGGCTCTGTTTTGTCATGTGGGGAAGCAATGCTGGCCCCTTTCTTCTTGGTTTTGACACTAAATGGAAACAAATGTCCATTAGAAAACAAATTTATTTGCTCCTGAAGTTTTAGACCTGTCTTATTTTCGGGGAAACACAGTAGGTGAGACATAACATATGAAAGGTTGAGAACCACCACTGCTTTAACGTGTGCCTTAAACCAAGTGATCTGTGCACTAAACATTGATGTCCGTTTGTTCCCAGGCTTCCACCGTTCCCTCTTATAAAATCCCGCTGTTGATCGGTGGTTTGGTGAAACCCTTAGATGTCACTGCTGGAGAGATGTGGGACACTCCCCAGAATTCCAACAGTGAACTCTTAGGTTGTCCCCTCAAATTACAGATCCTTAAGATGGCCGCATGCCAGTTAAAAGTGGTCTCAGACGGCTTGAGTATTGCCAACCCCGAACTTCACAAGGCCTTGCGTTCTACCCAGACATGCATTCTAATCTCTTCCCTGCAGACTCCTTATCACGTGAACCTCCTCCTGGCAGGCTACGATGAGCATGATGGCCCAGCCCTTTATTACATGGATTACCTCGCCTCTTTGGCTAAGGCGCCCTTTGCAGCTCACGGTTATGGAGCGTTCCTAACCCTCAGCATCCTGGATCGCTACTACAAACCAGGTAATTTGTGGTGCGGGGTCTTATATATCTTCTCCGTAAAGCAGGTTTGCCGTAATTTGAATGGTGCTGAAGCTTTTCTGGGTGTTTAGAGACAGGATTCCATGTGAAAGCAGCACAATCTCTTCTCTCAATAGAGGAGTAATAGAACAGGGGTGACCCCAGAGCTAACTGTGGCCATACAAGGTGGATGTTGTCCCCTTGTTTGGAAGTGGAGTCATTTTCTGTTCCTGGATGCTTTCAGGAATTGTTGCTCTGCGGTACAAGAAGGCATAGCTCTCTCCACTCCCACAAAAATGAAACAATAAGTGGATTCAAACAATGTTTAGTTTTGATTCCCCCCATGATTTGCTCATTTTCGTGGCTGGTGCAGCCCTTGGTAGATCTTGAGAACCCAACATTGGCTCCTTGGTTCTTCAGAGATGCTTAGTGAAACCAGGAGATTTCTTCCACACGACATGATCTGCAGATGGTTTCCAGCTTACATATTCAGTGCACATTTTTTTGAATTGTGTTAGGACACATTGAGTTAGCTCCAGGCTGTAGTAGTGGCACTTGGGTCTCCTGTGAAATCAGTCAGAGCAGCCGAAGTGCCAGCAGTCTTAAAACACTCCCATTTCCAGTCTTGAATGACCATCTTGCATCCAAAATGCGGGCTTGAATCTGGAGGCCCTGTGTCTAGCCTTTTGGTGCCAAAACTGCAACAGATTTGGGTTTTCTTCTTACTTTTCAGCACTTGACACATAATACCCTCAAAGAAGCAGTTCTAGTGCGGTGCTAATTCTGCCTTGCCCTGAAACTTCTTTGCATCTGTATTTATTTTACTTTATTTATTTATTATTGGATTTACATCCCACCCTTCTAGACAAAAGTCTTCTCAGGGCGGCTCACAACATTAAACAAATAAAAACAACAATTAAAAACTACAGTAATAATATGATCAAGATCTCTAAGAAGCCCTTGGCTGTCATCTTTTTCCAATGCAACCTTGTTTCTGCCCGGCCATCCGTGGCTGTCTCCGGTAGAACCACGTCCACCCTGTCCTAAATGCTTTGTCACTCTTCGTGGTCCCCAGCAGGGTCAAAATTTCCTTCTATTTGTTGAGAATAGCTGGAGCCCTCGGACCACCACCACGTGCCATTCCCATTGTTAAAAATGAATGCCCCGTAGGGAATGGAGTGCCAAAAGCCCACCCCCGCCCCCCCTTTTTGAGCCGTTCGCAGCCGACCTGGGACAGATGGAGCTGATTTAAAGCCCTAATAAGCTTGAGGAGGTGGGAGATGGCCAGCCTCTCCCAGCGCCCCAGCCCCCTGGCCATGGGAGCTAGGATTCTGCTGGGCTTCCTGCGAGGGTGGAACCAATTGATTAGGCATGGCTCGTTGGGCAAGCGGGGGCTGGGGGCACAGGTGATCCTCCTGACATGTGGAACCAGTTTTCTCCGAGCTGGGAAAAAGGCTCCCCGCACCACCACCCCCTTTTGTGCACAGCTGAAAAGCCACTTGAGCTTCAGAAAGAGGGTTTCGGAGAGCCGGGGCTGCTCATCAGAGCTTCTCTGTGGGGCTGACGGTCTTTCTCTTCCCAGGTATCACCCGAGAAGAAGCACTGGACGTTCTCAAGAAATGTCTGGAGGAGGTGAGTGACCTGCCTCTGCCCAGGAGACCCATCTCGGCTTAGTTGCCTTTACCTCCCCAGCGCTTTTCCCAATCCTCTACTGTGGCCCCTGCTCTCCTGTTGCCGGGAGGAGAAAGAAATACGGAGCGGCCAGAGGTGAAGCTGGCCACTGGCGGTGGGGGTCAGCACCCCACCCTCAGCCTCTTAGATCGCTTCCTGTTTGTTAGACTGCAAAGTATTCCCCCTTTCTGAGAGAGAGAGAGAGAGAGAGAAATCTTCCGCATTTAATGCTGGTCAGTTGGCCTCCTGCCTCATTTTCCGTCTGGAAGTCTTTACTCTGAGTCATAGGTTTGATGCTTTGGTGATAAAGCAAACTTTGTGTAGTGCATCATGTTTAAAGTCTTCTTGTACCCATGAGGGAATGCATGGGAAGAGGTGAGAAGGGCCCTTGCTCAGGTGACAGCCGCCTGGAGTGACAGTGGATGGGAGGCGGCTCGTGTCCTGCCAGGCGTGCAGCCTAGAACCCGCTTGAGACAGAAGTGCCAGTGGTGGCCGAGTGCAGGAGGTAGCTCCGTTCCTGATGTGGCCTGGCCGCTCTCCTTAGTGCTACAGGTCAGGTGGCATGTACAAACCCTGGCCGGCCAGCTTTATAGATCAGTCGCCCTCGCGTCTCAATCCCTGGACCTAATAAAGCAAAAAAACAACGTGTGCTACTTCTAGACCACCCCCCATAGTACTTAAAGCACTCTCTGGGCAGTTAACACTTTAATTATATAGGCAACACAGTCCCCCCCCCCACTAGCGATCTGGGTACTCATTTTCCAAATCTCTGAAGGATGGAAGGCTGAGTCAACCTTGAGCTGGCTACCGGAGCCCATCAGGATTGAACTCAGATTGTGAGCAGAGGCTTCACTGCAGTTTAAGCAGTTTAAACTGCAGTTTAAGCCCTGTGCCACAAGGCTCCTATAGAACTTCCCCTGTATCCCTGTTGCCGTTTTAAAAAAACTTGCTAGGAGACACAAGGAGCAATATTACCATTTCCCTTTCCACCTGAATTTTCTTTTTCAACCCAGCACCTTCCCCCACCCTAAAATAAAATAAAATATATTTAAAAAAAAAACCTCCGGAAGTGGTTCGAAATTATTTCCAGTTTTTGGCAAAAGTACCATCCCAGATCAGATTGTTCAAATAATTCTCTGAGGATTTTGAGGTAGAGAGAATGCACATCTCACTCTGATCCCTCGGGTTTCTTAGTCAGGGAGATGCTGGGAGGGGGCGGTAATGACGCAGAGCCGGCCTGCTGGAGGAGTTGTGCAATAATGATCAGGTGACTTGCTGAACTGCTTGGAAAAAAAACCCCAAACTTGTGTTCCTCCCTTCTGCAGCTTCAGAAACGTTTCATCCTGAATTTGCCTTCGTTCAACGCCCGGTTCATTGACAAGGATGGTATCCATGAAGTAACGAACGTACCCCTCCTCAAGTCAGTGGCCTGAACAACTGTGTTTTCCTTCTCCCATCTGGATTTTCGGGTTTTGTTTTTTTTTTTTTTTGGTTTTTTTTTTACTTCCTTGACATTTGAAGCCTGTGCATTGTATTCAGGAGATACAATAAAAGGGCTGGATTATACAGTAGTTTTGATCCGTTGTTGTTGTTGTGTGCTGTCAAGTTAAAACCAACATAAGCGACCTTAATAGGGCTTTCAAGGTAAGCGAGACCTTTAAGGAGTGGTTTCACCAGTTCTACTCCCCCAGTGAGTTTCCATGGCTGATCAGGGGGATTCGAACCCTGTCCTCCAGCATCCTAGTCCATCGGTCTTTCCACTATAGGACGCTGGGTGGTGGATAGATTTTTTTTTGTCTAGATTCCATTGAAATGGTTCTTGGACTAGATGGGCCTTTAAACAGAGGCTGCCTTCAAACACAGGGTCAGTCTAGCCGCTACACCACACTGGATATCTTTCAACACATTCAGGTGCAAGATGCTTCTTATGCTCCCGCTCGCCCATCTCCTTTCACGATGGCTTTGTAGAGTTCTTCACGCAGGTTTGTGCTGTTGCGACATTTACCCTTGAGCACATCAGTTTAATACTGAGATATTATCTGCTCGTCATGCCAGTATTTCTTTTACAAGGCTTGGTGGGTGGTTTTCTTTCTGTCTCTCTCTTTTTTGTAGGCTGGGAGAGGGAAGTCATTGCCCACGATGTAGCTGTTGTGCTAACTTGGCTTGCTTAATTTTCCAAAAAAAGAGCACTTCCTGTGTCTCATGCAACAGACACGAATGATGGCAATCTGTGTCATTCCAAAGGCATATAAATATTCATACAACGGGAACATGGAAAGCCGTCTTAGACAGAAGCGTGCGCCTGAACCAATCCTGCTTATCCCTGAAACCAACAGAAGTGAGCGTTCTCCACTCCCCAGCTGTTTTTATACTGCCACTGCACAACTCTTGAGCTAAGCCAGTGTAGCCCATGGTGAAGAACGCTGGAAATTGCAATTCGACAAAATTGGGCCCACTTGGGTCTACACACTTATGGCCAAGTTCAGGTGACTCTTAAAAAAAAAACACACCATCCTCTGCAAATCAGCAGAGTCATAAGGGAGTCCCAAGAGGTTAAAAGCAAGATGGTTTCAGAGTTGGAACCAATTACTTCTTTGAAATAGTCTAATCAGGAATTCAGGAGTTGCTGTATTGACCGCAGGATGAATCCCCAAATCTAGGTTAGGGTGAAAGCATGGTTAGCAGAAATCAAAATGAAGGACAACGTCTCAGGGTGTAGAAAAATGGAAATAGTATTTCTTCTGATTTAAAAATGCTCATTGCGTTTTGGCACACGGCCCTTCTTCATGAGCAAGGTTTTAGAGTCAAAACTTCATTAGCTCCTTTGGTCAGGTCCACCTTGGAATGCTGCCGCTGGATCAACTTGTTCGTCGTGTTTCTGCTGAAAGCATGGTTAGACTACGTTGGAAAAGGTTTGCTGGTTCAACAGCGTAGTCCTAAGGTAAATTTCTGATTGGGATTAAGTCGCTCTTCCCGGACATCTTGGTGCTCCGATGGAGGATTGCACGATACGTCTCTGAATGAGCCCAACTCCCTGGACCGTTTGGGTCTTCCTCCTTGAACACAGAGGCTGAGATCAATTTACAACGCCCTTATTGCCGGCTGGTCCTCTCCACCCAACTCCCCCGATGCTGTGTTCAATTCACGCTCCTTTAAACAGTCCTTCCCTGAAATTAATGTCCCCATTGATCTTGGCTCCTTCTTTATCTGGAAGTCACAGTGATGCTCCCCCTCCCCCCCACACAAAGGCAACACTTTTCTCCTTGTTGGTATTCATGGTCAAGAATAATCGGTGGCAAACTTGATATGGTGGAACATCGGTCTTCGTCTTCATGCATGTGCGTTTTTCATGATCAGCCCGTCTCTCAAGGCAGGTGATGGTTTCTATGTTTATTAATGATTCCACCCCTCCTCCCAAAGAGGCTGGTTGGAGTTGGGGCTCGAGGAGAGCATATGTTCAGCCTCGGGGCAAGAGACCCTGTGCTCTATCCCCCACTGACTGGGGAGATAGGAGGGGGTAACGGAGGGGATAAAAGAGCAACAGCCTCCTGGAAATAAATGGCAAGTAGCCTTAAATTAAGTCCCAGAACAAAAGAATGGGTCGTAGAGTCCGCTGCACGAGATCCATAAAGGGGGACTTGTGTTTATACTAAGGGACTTTTTAAAAAGGGGATCCTATCAGGGTCAAATGGAAACGGGGTGGGATTGGACTGATTTCCTTCATTCCCCGCTTGCTAGCTCTTTCGGTTTCACAAGCCCTACAAGGTTGAGACGCTCATGGCTTCTTGGTTATGTGCCATCGAATCAGAAATGACTTATAGTGAGGCTTATAGTTACTTATAGTTAATCGGGCGTCAAGGTAAGTGGGATGTGTAAGGAGTGGTTTTAGCAGTTCTGCTCGCCCGATAAGCTTCTCATTGCTGAGCAGGGGATTCAAACCTTTGGACTCCTGAGTCCTAGTCCATCACTCTTACCCACTATGCCACACTGGATGGTGGACAGATACATATATTGGTCTTAAATGCCATTGTATAGAAACAGTTCTCTTTCAAGCAGGCTGTCTGGCCACTATAGCAAAAGAGGTACAAACAATTTGTTTTATTACTAATGGACATTGACTATGGTTGTGTGTGTGGTTGTGTGTGAACATCCTTGCAGGACTGCGATGCCGCTGATATCTGTGAGTCAAAAAGGGGTTTTGAGGTGCAGCAATGAACAGCAGAGGAGCCTGTCTTGTCCATAAACCTCTCTGAACAAAAATTAGCTGCTCGGGAAGTTCCAGATTACCTGCAATTCTAGAATGGGTCTTTTCATTTTAAAAACAAGCCTTCTCTCTTCTCCCCCTCCAAAAATAAAAACAAAAATCCCAAAGAAGGAAAGCAACTCCTCTGCGTCCGACATCCAACCTTTTCTTCTTAGGCAGCTGGTTTGAGTTAAGCGACATGAATATCCTTATTGGATAACTACCTAATGGCACATTAGCGCCAAACCAAACGGCTTAAAACGTCAGTTTCCATTTTCTGAGACAGCTCCATTTCTTTTAATGGCTAACAGGGCCCCGCGAGTAAATAAAGGCCGCATTCAGAACCAGGAGGAGCTTAGAGATCAGAGAAAGAACAATGCAAGTAAGAAAGATATCTATCTGTACGGGGTGAAACATCTGGAGAGATGCATGTCTCCCACCCCTGGGCTTGGCAGTGCTGTTGTTAGCCCACCAGGTGGGCCCCTGGGTCCCCTCCATAGGCTGTTGGACTACAGCTCCCATCATCCGTAGCTAGCGTGGCTGATAATGAGAGATGCCATCCAACGCACATGGAAGCAAAAGGATCTATAGCAAATTAAAGACACATCATATGTCTGGTTTCTTCGGCTCTTGTTTCTTGTTTTTGCCCAAATGGCCTAAGACCGCTATGATTGTTCTGACTTTCTAATTAGTTTTCTAACTACGGAGCGCTCAGAGGTGGCCTCCAGGGCCTTCCTTTTGCAGGTGCTCTGAGACTCTCCAAGTCGCTTAAGACCATAAAGGCTGGCTCTTCTCCTATGAAGCACAGTGGTCGTGTTGAGCTCCCCGCTTCGGACTCTGCTCAGCTACCGGTCTCCAAACTGCTACAGCAGAAGGCGCTGGATTTAGCCAAATGAATGGAAACCCTTCTATTGCAGGAACGGGCCTGGGGAACAAACAGGCACCATTATGGTTAAGCAAATGGAAACAGAAACACATTCCCAATGTGACTGAGGTCACAACCCTTTACTTTGATAGAACTTCAAATGTGATGGTTCCATGCTGCAAAATCCTGGATGCCTATTTTCTCTTAAAAGCGATTTCATGCCCTCTCCGGCACTGCAACGGTGCATTCTAAGAACCTTACTAAACTCAAATCCGAGCATTCCCGAAAATAGACTGAAGGCCGCCAAAGTGGTGTCAAACTCATGCAATTGTGTCGTGCCTTTGTGGAACTATGTCTTGTCTATTCAAAACAGGATTGGATCAAGAGTCCGTAAGATGATGGGCATTTTTAAAATCCAGATGTTAAACACATTTTGCATGTTTTATTCTGTTATAGGATGGTGGTTAAGCCGCCTTGAGCACTGCCCTGAAGGCAGGGTAGAAATGTAGTTAATAACAGGGATGTTGGCAAGTCTTTTGCTACTAAATTTCAAGTCTGAGTCTTTGGTACCAAGTCCCAAATTGGAGACCAAGTCTTTGGTACCAAGTTCCAAGTCCCTCTTAAAAGCAGGCTTTTCCCCCCGGGCGGGGAGAAGGAGAGATGGGTGGTTTTCGAGTCATTAAAAAATAAATAAACCCTGGGTCAAGTCCAAGTTGAGTCACTGCTGCGACTTAAGTCTGACTTAACAGCAAGTCCCACGACTCAGTTTCCCCTCCCTGCTTAATAACAGCAATAACAGTCATAACATGACGGCATCACTGTGC